AATATTTGCATAATAACTGTCATAAAAACCAGCATCCTGGGGTTAGTGCTTAAAAATGACCAAGTTTTCTTTTGTTGCTGGCAGAGTTTGTTTCACAGTGCTATCTCTTAAGCATGGCTATAGTGAATTCATGTACCCATCCTCCCCAAAAGGGTGAATACAGCCTCACTTTGCCTTGCTGGAAGCACTGAGAGTGACAGTAAATATCTTTGTGCAGGATTTACTTCTGGGAAATAATACATCCTCAATACTTAATTAGACTATTTTAAATTTAAATCAATGTTTATTCAAATTTTTAGTTAACTCTGACCTTAACATTCTCCGTAGTGATCAAAATACTGTGTTCACTGCAGTTCTTCCCTTTCAGTCTGGAGGAAATGAGGCTGGAAAGAGAGAGGCCTCACAGGGAAAGGCCTCCATTCTTGTTCTGTCAATGCTTGTCTGTCTGTCATGTCTCATAAGAAATTACTTCTGTCTCCTTTGCTGTTGTCTTAATGAAGAGGACTCTGGTGTATCACAGTGAAGACTGCAGTGGTCAACTAATGATTCTTCTGGGGATGAATGTTTCACTGTGGTAGAAAGGTCAAAACATAGGTTAAATAGACATTTAATTCCAGTATTTCCTTCCAGAATCCAAGCAGATGTCACAGCCCTTTTCTGCTATAATTGTATCAGAATCATCCAGATTCCCAAAATGCAAGAAATTCACTTATCAGCTATACCAAAAAAGATAAGCTTGAGCTAAAAATATGGTAAAGGCCGAAGCAGATAAACTGGTTGGTGAAATAGTATCTTTGGTGCACAATTACTATATGTCCTCACTTCTCTTGAGCTCCAGTAGCTGCTCTGTGCTTGACTAAATCTCAGCTGGAAGAGGCAGCTCTGTTCCAGCGATGTGCAGCTTTCTCCTTTGTCTGATGTTAATGCAAAATGTTCCCATTTGCAAAGGAGGTCTTTGCTTTTCTTTCTGTTTTTTTTTTTTTCAGAGAAGAAGAAGGGAGCAGTTAATAGAATTGAAGTGTGTTCTTCTTTTGCTGCTCTGTGATTATGTGCTGGAACTGTAATTTCTTCTGCTATACCTTTTGGGACAGAATTATAGGGATACAACCAAGGAGAATGTCACCTGTGAGATAAGTTATCTAGGTAAGCTCCCCAAGAACTTTTTTGTAAAGCTGCAGTTTGTTTCCTAATTTAAAAGATGAAGGAGAAGAGTCTGAACTAGCTTCCCTGCCCAACCAAAAGCATCATCTGCATTCCAGGAAGTAGGAAGCTATATAGAGCTTATTTGTCAGTAATGATGAAATAGTAGGTTTTATACTTTAGTGTGTATAAATTTTGTTTGCTGCCAGTGAATCTACCCTGGGTTTTATGCTATTGCTCAGGCAACAAGAAAGAAAGCATTTTAGATGGAAATTCAGGGTGAGGAGTAAAACAGATGTGGTGACAATGAAATAGTAGGTTTTATACATTAGTATGTGTAAATTTTATTTGCTGCCAGTGAATCCACCCTGGGTTTTTGTGCTATTGCTCAGGCAACAAGAAAGAAAGCATTTTAGATGGAAATTCAGGGTGAGGAGTAAAACAGATGTGGTGACTAAAACCAGCATTTACTGAAAATCACAGAATGAGAATCTTCCTAGCAGATATTTTCCAATTAAGTGTCTAGTGGATCAGGTGGTCCAGCTGGTTTTCTTGAAGTTTTTGGTAGTAGTGGACTACTATAAAGATTGTTAATCTGGATGGCTAAGGCTCTTGCAGCATATTTGTTCCACAAGATATGGACAGAGACTCAAATTAAATAATGACTCACACATGTATTTCTGCCTGCAAAGGTGAAGAAAAACTCTTGGCACTCTAGTTTTGATTATTCAGGTACTAAATTTCATGCTAAAATATGAAATATTTCCTAACAGCTTTTGACATCATTAGCAGTTGCTACCTGAGTGTTAATCATGGCTAATGTAGCTGCAAGCAGCACACAGAGATAGAGCAGATTCAACAAAGTACAGGTGCAGAATTTCTCAAACTTCCCGTGGAAGGAAAGTGCTCAGGCTCCCTCCCTCCCTCCCTCCCAGCTGTGTATTCCAAGGCAATAACAGCTTGGCAAATGTGCATCAGTCTGGAGGGCTGAAAGGCAAGAAAAATGTACACATTAGCAGCTGAGTCATCTCTGGAGTTTTGTAATATAGACTTTTATGAGAACAGGATCAAGTGTTGATTCTGTAATAAATCTGCAACTGAAAATTATGCTACTTTTATAGATGATTACATTTCTTGAGTTGCCTGCCCTGCTGTCAGGCTGGTCACTGCTTGGTCTGAGCTGTCAAACTGCTGCCCTCCAGACATGCAGCCCAGGTGTTCATGTCTCACTGCAAGTCTGCCTTTATGTTTTAGCACTGCAGACTGGGTTCAAAACCAAAGTGAGTTATTGTGCAGCCTTTGTACAAGTAGTGACAAACCTTAAACCCCCACAGCCTCTTATCTGAATGTCTCACTCTGCAGCTCTTTTGCAGTCACTATAATTGTCTTTGAATCTCCTTGGAGTGGAATATTTCAGGTGGGTCTGGACATGCATTTCCTGAGCTGTCTGTCTACCAGATGGATGTTAAATTTCACTTTTTTGAACTTGTCAGACACTGAAATGATTAAGTTGTGCACCAATCCAAATGTCAATTATTTGCAGAATCTCATGATTTATGAATTTGCTTCCATCACAAGAGGCTTAAAATACATACACCTTAAAATGCAGTCCAGTCTTATATGTTCTGCATTAAATGCATGCTTGTTGTTTCTAACTATATTGCAGCAATTAATTATATACTTGCAAATACACACAAGTATGTATTTTCTTTTGGTAACTTAATGTTCTCTGTCTGGGTAATGCGTGAGAGAGATACCAAAAGCAGCTTATTTCGTTCTTCCTAAAATAAGTATTGTTAGGTCTAGTCAACAATTAATATTATTTTCATATTTAGTTTTTTACAGATTTTGTTGTTGTTTGCTATTCAGTGGCTTATAAGCTTCTTTTTTATACATGTGTGGAAATGGTTTGGAGTGAATCAGGATAACAAAATACTTTCAATTTACATCTTTCTGACATCTTGGTTCACTATTAATGCCCCTTCTGATGTAGCTTTCTGGGAAAGCTCTGGCAAACCTCCAAAGCTGTTCACGGATGTGGCAGCATCCACCATTAGAGCATATTTGGATAAATAAATACATTCAAAGGCATTTTGTAGTAATACTTGGAAATCCTCTCAGGAAAGGCAGAAGCTCTCACATAGGCTGAGTGTAAGCAGTCCTGTCAGGATTCAGGCGTGGCACATTTGTTGGCCTGCTGAGGATCAGCAACCACTTTAACTATCACCAAACATCTCTGTTCATCTGGGGGTCTCAGTTGCTTCTGTCAGGCTCAGCCATCAAAACAACTTTTGGTACCTCAGCTAGATTCCAAATGGTGTAAGAAAATATGTTGCTCTGTGTCAGGACTAGTGCCAAACATGAGAATAATGAGGTTCTGACTTACTGCTCTCATGGGAGGGTTTAACTGCATGGCACAGCTATGAGATCTCGTGCTCAAATGAACCACCAAGAGAACAGAGCTTCTGAAGGAGTATGACAGGCATAAAAAGGAGCTTTTTATATTGCATGGGCACCTGGCACCGACAGGGTAAGCTGTGGAGGCAAACACTACACTTGTTCCAAGAAAGGAACTGCCTGGCTGACAGAACAAATAAGGAAAAATTTTAATTGGCTATAACGAAGTGAGCTGTGATCTTGCCTGACTTATTGACTTGTATTGTACAGTGGCATTCTATATATGCCCACAATGGGGATTGTCACAAACTTTTGGTGGAAGTTTTTGGCGCAGCATGGTCTGGGCAAACATGAAAATTGTGTTTGGAGAACAGGACAAGCATGCAGTTAAGGCAGGGTGGCTATCAAGGGATGATGGCTACAGGAACTGAGGAAGGCAAAGTCTCAGGGGCCCTTTAAAAACCACTGCAGATTTGTACCCAGATTGCACAGAGTGTACAGGGTGTACCCACCAGTGAAACCCAGAGTGAGTGGAAGGAGGTGGCTTGTGACATTGAGGGAAGGGAGAAGGGGGATGTGTAGACAGAGGTGATGGCACCAGTGGCCAGGTAGTACAGCAACAAAAAGCATGAAGTGGGATCTGAAAACTTTAATGAAGGGCAAAAAGGGAATCAAAAGAAGTGTCCAGAACTGATGGGTTTGTGTTTGTGAGGAACATTTTGTTTAATCTGACTCTGTCTTTGGAAAATCTGGAGTTTGGAAATTCTGCTCTATAAAGCAGAGTCGTGTTCTTGCCACAGCAGTTATATTAGAAACCTGCTTTTGGCCACCTCAGAACATCAGCTCTAGCAGTAAACGCCACCGAGAGCAATACAGGATGTGCCCTGGATACTCCGACGACGGTTGGATCAAGAGACATTTAAAGCATCCAAAGTGAGAGCTAAACCCTGACGAGCTGTCCCGTGAGTCCTTCCTTACAAGGCCCGAGCTGTGGCTGGGATCAAACACGGAAAACATTCCCGGGAAAGGACTCGGGGCCGGGCGGGGCCGGGCGGGAGCGGGCGGGGCGGCCGCGGCCTCGGGCGCCACCCAGCGGCGCGGCGCCGCCACAGAGAGTTGTGTTCTTGCCACAGCAGTTATATTAGAAACCTGCTTTTGGCCATCTCAAAACATCAGCTCTAGCAGTAGTAAACGCCACCGAGAGCAATACAGGATGTGCCCTGGACACTCCGACGACGCTTGGATCAAGAGACATTTAAAGCATCCAAAGTGAGAGCTAAACCCTGATGAGCTGTCCCGTGAGTCCTTCCTTACAAGGCCCGAGCAGTGGCTGGGCTCAAACACGGAAAACATTCCCGGGAAAGGACTCGGGGCCGGGCGGGGCCGGGCGGAGCGGGCGGGGCGGCCGCGGCCTCGGGCGCCACCCAGCGGCGCGGCGCCGCCACAGCGCGCTCGCCCTCACGGGCCTTCGAGCTGGGCTGCGATCGCTGTGTGTGATTCTCCTTCGTGCGCGGCCGGGGATGGAGATAAAACTAGCGCTTTCCACCAAATTGTGTCCATTCTTTATTGCTTCCAAGAACTTCCAAGGAACTCTTGATTTCGCTGGGTTAGTTAAGCGCTGGGATAGTACGGGTAAGGTGACATCGCTCAGAGAACATCCTGTGGTCTGTAGCACAGGAAAGGGGAGATAAAAGAAGGAGAATATAGAATGAAATACTCCTATTGAGCACATGGACGCAAAGGACTCTGCATTTTGCAAAAGGGCCAGAAATGGTAGGTGATATTTTGTTTTTCAGTTAGTCTAAAGTGTGAAATACCCAGTTCTTAAAAAAAGCCCAACCACAGACCTGTGTCTTCATGCATGAGTCACGAACCATAAGCAGTCCTTCTTCAAATTAGCTGCCTCACTCATAAACTTTTAAGAGTTTTCTGGTAATTTTCACTTTAAATTTTATTAATAGGGTGAAAAAAAAAATAGCTTCTGAAGTTGGTAATCCATAAAGTTGCTCAAAAGACATGTGACTGAATGCTTATAAAAATGTGAATAGACAGAAGAAAGAAGGCAGATAAAGGTGTCTACATGTGCCAAAAGAACAAGAATGTCTCCCTGTGTGCCCTCCTCCTCCTCTTTTGGACCTGTTTTTTGGGGGAGAAAGGGGAAAACAGTCCTGTTTTAAAGGCTGATTGTGCTTTCTTTCTTTCTTTCTTTCTTTCTTTCTTTCTTTCTTTCTTTCGAAAGACTTTCTAGCTCTGACAACTCACTGACAACAAAGAATACTGTTATTTTTGCATTTGTAGTTTCTGTGAGAGCACTGTGGAGTTGTTTTATTTCTTGGGTGCTCAATTGATTACTTTGCTTTTGTTTGCATTTACTTTGCCTTGTCTTCAAGGCCATGGTCTTCAGCAATTTTGCAAAACATAGCACTGCAGCTTTTTTTCTTTGCAGGTTCTTCTGGCTGCAAGGAACATTTCAGCTCTTAGTGGCTGTGCTTCAGTCCGGAAATGACCGTAGTGATTGAAGTTCCTCATAGCCCCAGCACATCACTTTTGTGTGAGGAAATGCTTCATCACCCCTACTGAGTCTCTGCACTGGAAACATGCAAGCCCCCTGTGAACGTGAAGACACAAACTTGCTGCTCCAGCCACTGTTTGAGGGACAGAATTATGGAGCTGCTGCAGAGGAGGGCACAGAGTGTCCATCTGTGGCTGTGTCAAGGAACAATCCGGCAAAGAGGGATTGCCTGGTAGTTGCTGTGCTGTGCTTTGGGAATTTAATAAATTTCATTGATTGGTTCATTGTGCCAGGTGAGAACCCATTTTCCTCTTCTAAAGAAAAAGAAATTTAAGTTCTTAACAGTTCTACAAATGTTTCTAAAGTAAGGTTATGCTTTATGTCTTTGTACTTTCTCTCATTTATCTGCTTTAGCCTGTTGATCATACTCTTAATGAAACTTCCAATTATAAATCTGGAAAGACCTAGGAGTGATTTACTAGATATTAATAGTTAGTAGAATGCTTATAAAAATAAAATAATACTTTAAAATCTAGCTATCTTATAAACAGACTTTAGCATACAGGGCAACTGGTCCATTTTTGTGGCTGAATTCTACAGAGGTGTGAGTAAAGAGCTTCTCTTTACTGTCCACAACAGTTTGTTTACAAGGCCTTCTTTAGTAGATTCTATATGTTATTCCTCTGTCTGAAGAATACTGATGCTATTCCCTCCATTACAAGTTCAAAAACGATGAGATTTTTGTGATAACTTTGTTATCCATGTTAGGGGTGTTATCCTTAGGGGAGGCTTCACTTCCTTGTGAGCTGCTGGCAGTCGTGTGATTTCTGCAATTAAGAGTGAAACATGATTGCAGAAAAAGAACAGAGACCCACTTCCTTAAGCCTTCTCCCACCCACAAGTTATGACTTGTTGTCTAATAAATCATATCCTTCCTCCAAAATATGATTTTTAAACTATTTTTTTCCCCAGCTGAAAATGACCAAGAGTTGCTTATAGTAAACTGGAGGGAAAATATGGAGCTTTTTCTCCCATCTAAATTGTGGTCTGTGTAAATTCTTCTATTTAGTACTACTCCTAAGCATCTCCCATCTTCCAGGGATCTGATTTAGAAAATAGGGGAAACACTTGTGAGCTTGCTATATTTTACTTCTGAGTAACCTGGGAAACAGAAATATTTTAAACCTTGAAAAAACCCAAAGGATGGATTCTTGAGTTCGGAATTAATACCTAGTTACAGCACACAAAGTAATTATTTTGCTACTTCAACTATTGAGAAATGTAGGACAGTCAGTCAGTATCTTTAAAAATGGAGAGTGTAGTGGGTTTAAGAGTTTGAGCTCGTTTTTTTGAGCTTGCTTTTTAACAACACAAGAGGGAAGGAAGCAAGTAGGAGTGCAGTGGGAGTGCATGCTGAATGACACTGCAAGGCTGTGAGTGAAAAACTTCTGTGAATGCATTCTGTTGTCAAGCAACTTTCCTTGGAGAGGGGCAGGGGACAGAAGGGGATGAAAATATCTTCAAGGAAGAGCTTGGATGCCAGAAGGGTATCCCCTTGGGAGGGTTAAGATCAAGAAGCCATTTGGCTCATTCCAGGCTTTGAACTATTCAGGGGCTCCTGAACCAGCTAAGAGCTTAAAATTCTCCCACCATGCTCCCAGGTGCCTTCAGGGACATGCAAGAATTCAAGAGCTGAGGTGGGGATAGTGGCCAGGCCTTTGAAACATCCCCTTGAATTACACTGCATGACTAAACCACATTTTGCTTGGTTCTATGGCTGCTGGACCATGGGGAGGTCTGTAAGCTGCAGTTTATACCACAGCAATAAAATACTGTTCACCTGCTAGAATTCAGTGCCACTGCAGGATTCTTGCAGCAGTGCCTTTGAGTTTGGCTGTCCAAGTGTGTGACCATGTTGTTAGATTCAGCTAACAGGACAGGGAGGAAGGGGAGGTGTGAGTATCTGCTTAGAAGTAAACTGGCAGCAGTTACAAAGTTGTGGTTTCCGGATAGTTTTGCTCTCTGGCTTTGACAGCGTTTGCATCACAGAAAACAAGCTCTTCCCCTTGGATGTCTGCTGACTTCAGTTTGTTGAAACTAGTGACCATGCAGACCTTTTCTGTCTTTTCTGTCCACCAAACAGTTCAAATCAATGCTTTGTAATTTGCCAGGATCTGGCAGAGTCAGTTAGTTATATGGAGGGGATAACATTTTAATGGTGCTCAGTGTGAATGTTAGTTTGAGATAAAGTTGTGGTTCTGTTCAAGTCTTGTTAACTGTGATTTGTTCCACGAGATAAATACTCCACGAGACCAAACCTGAATTCCTCTAATACAGTATTTCTGTGCATTGATCACTGGCTGCCAGAAAGGAAGGATGTAATTGATTGTCCTGTTTTAATGATGCAAAATATTTTAATTAAGTCTCTTGTTTAAACTTTTGAAACCATTAGGAAACCCCTAAATGTAAAATATGCTCAAGAGTCACTGAGAAACAGCTGTAAACCTCTGGAGCTGCTGCTAGGCTGGACCTTGATCTGCAGTGACTTGAAGTCACATCAGTAAATAGTGAGTGGCCTGATGCTGCAGCCATGGGGACTGTGGGAGAACATGGATTTACCTTTAAATTAGCTGGTCCCACACTGCTTTTAAGTGGCTGGAGCAGTGTAGTTCATGGCACAATGTGTAAAGCACAGTGTGGGAGAAGAGGTGCCTCTTGCTGACTTCACCCACTCCCTTCTGCTGCAGATGAGCTCCTGTGAACACAGCAGGCAAATTACACAGAACTTGTTCTCTTAAGTAATGTGGTTTTATCCTCTTAAAAATGTTATGGCTTTATCTATTTTGACAAAATTGAAGTGGCATGAGAAGTAAATGTCTTTTTTAATTGACATCTTTCAATGCAGGTGTGCTTTTTCAAAGCAGTATCTTCCATTTTCAATTGGTTTTCAGCAGTGTAAATTGGAAATACAGAGAGGTGAGATGGAAGATCTGCAGCTCTGGCATGGTATAGAGAAGAAAATTACCTTTGTGTCTGAACATCCACTGTTTTCTTCTACATTGTGTCCATTAAACTTTGAACTCTAAATTTTCATATTCTTAGGTGCTAATGGTGCAAAAGAAGCAGAACAGGAGTGGTTGAAACAGTGGGTAAACTGACTCTCATAAGACCCTTATAGTGGAAAGTAATTAATTTTATCTATAACAATAAGAATTTTTAATTAGCTGTGCATCTTATGCTTATAGTAGAGTAATGGCTTACATCTAAACTCAAAACTAAATGTGCTGCAGTTCTTGCAAGCCCTGGTTTTGGGTGGTAGTTACCAGGATTAGCAGGGTGCTTTGCTGTCATTCAATGTCTGCCTCTGTTGCAGGGATCCTGTTGGATATACAGAAATACTTCAGGCTCAGTGATGGGAAGACAGGTCTACTGCAGACAGGTAATAAAATCTCCTCAGTTCAGAGAGCTGGCTTTGCCTTGCCCCTCTGTGGTCTGCTCCAAAGACACAGTCCAGTTTCTTAGCTCTTCTAGTTCCTCCTTCTGTGTGGCATTGCCCACTTCCACTTGTGGGCAGGCTGACTATAATGCAAAACTGAAAGTCAAACTACAGTCAGGTCCTTCAAAATCTCACAGTATGTCAATCACAAAAGATGAAGGGTTTCTCAAGAAATACAAAAGTGGAGTAATTCACATACATTCACATTGTTTAATTCAATTCATATCAATTCAATTCACATACATTTTATTGTTGTATAGGTATTTTGAGTCTGCATTTGTATTTTTCCAAATATCAATCCTCCTCCTAGTCCTAGAAACTCAGCCTGCCTTTAACCCCTGCCCTAAAAATAACCTGAGTTTATCTGAGGGCTGAGCAGTACATATGACAAAAATATTTAGACAACTATTATCTTTGTTCATTGTTGGATTTTCAGTCTTCACCTTGTGTTACATGCTGGCTGCCCCCATCTTTGGATACCTTGGAGATCGCTACAACAGGAAGATCATCCTTGGAGCTGGCATTTTCTTCTGGTCTGGTGTGACCTTGGGGAGCTCATTCATCACTGAGTCGGTATGTTGCTTTTTAGAGGGTGCTATGGAAATAACCTGCATGCATCTTGCAGGACTTGATAGAATCCTTCTCTAATCACATTTGGAAAAGCATCAGTGACCACTCATTTCCCAAGCCTTAAGCCTGGACTAAATATACTGCATGCAGGAATGCCTTAAAGGACTCTGGAGTCCAGCCTAGGCAACAGAGAACACACACGTTATTGTTGCAATTGATGGGGTTTTATTTTTGTCCAGAATGTTTCTTGTTTATGACCTTACAGTTTGTTTGTTACATGTGTCCTATCCACCCTGTCCTGAAATTCCCTCTGGGTGTCACTCTGAGAAGTCACTGCTGTGCAGAAAGAGAAAGCCAAGCAGTGAGATGTGAGGGAAGCAGGTGTGAGTGGAGGGAATACAGACAGAGGCAAAAGGCAGTGGAATTCTGATTTCTTCTGGTAGATTTCATCCACTAAAATGCCCCTCTAAATAAGTAAATTTTCTTTCTTTCTTTGCATGGACTTTTTTTGATTATAATATGTCTTTTCCCTGCAGCATTACACGATATTTGTTCTTTCACGAGGATTGGTTGGCATTGGCTCTGCCAGTTACTCCACTATAGCACCTACCATCATTGCAGACCTGTTTGAGGAAGGAAAAAGGACCACAGTGTTATCTATCTTCTACATTTTCATTCCAGTGGGAAGGTTGGTTTTCTTGCAGTGACCTTTTGAAATTCTGTCTGACCACACCTGCAATTCAATATACCCTGAGCCCTAATCAGATTTATTTTGATATATTTCTTTATTGGCTCTTACAAAGGGATTTGTCACTTCCTTGGCAAGTTTGAATAGAGCTGATTAGGTGTATTTCTCTACTTACCTTGAGAAAAATTTGCTTTTTCCCCCTAACATTTTTAGGGCGAATCTAGACTCCAGAAACTCTGGCTTTGAATAAAATATTGAATCAATTCTAAAAGAAATATGTGCATGAGAGTATGTAATTTATTTCTGTGTTTTGGGAGACAAAAGCTTTTAGATATTAATTTATTTGACAGATTTTTCAAGAATCCTTCATTAAATGTTTCCCAAGGAAGAACTGGTACTTCCCTCTCTTCTTTTAGTTAATTGACATTGTGTCTGAAGAAAAGGTAGAGAAGAGCTTTTCAAATGGTTTAGAGGCATACTCTGTATCAGAGCAGGCAGCCAAGGCTGGGCCCAGAAGGCAGATTAAAACTAAAGAAATTCCTGCAGGGCACAATTCCTTTGGCTAGCACAGGAGGGAGTAGGTAATAAAATGTTTTATGGGCTCTTTGATCCAGGTTTGCAGTGTCATTTACAGAATATGTATTCCAAGGGGAATCTGGGACATTACTGGCATCATCTCAAGTCTGCTCTGAGGAGCTTAGACTCTCTTTTTAATACTGGCTGGCAAGCAGACTAGCACAGACCATGAGGGTTATTTCTGTTTATCCCTTTGGAAAACTATGGCAGAACATTCTCCTTAGCTGGCAAGACATGTCATTTCAGCCATCCAAAATTCATTGGTGCTTCCTGACCATTCCTTTCTGTTGTTTGCAGTGGCTGTGGTTATATGCTGGCAGCTGGCATGGCAAAAAGCACTGGTGACTGGCACTGGGCATTCAGGGTGAGTCACTCATTCACTGTAACATCAAAATCATCACTGGGGGTTGGATTCTTTATGTTCATTGTGTTAAAGGTGAGCAGTGGGAGGACTTCCAACCCTCTGACAGGTCAGGAACATGGTGTTTAGGAGAAGTTTTCCTACAAGACAAGTGGCAGATTTCTGCCTAGCTCTGATAGGTGTAGGTGAAATTGTACAGCAGCCAGGGCAGGTGCTGATGTTCCTCTTACCTGAGAGCACATTTGGAATGGTTGTTACTGCACCAAGACTTCCTCAAACAGAGGAATTTGAAAGTAAAATGATCATTGTACTGGTAGCACCAGTTTCTGGAATGCTGCTGAGAACAACTTCTTTGTATACAAAATCAGCTAGCACATGCAGCTGAGTGGGGCAGAGTATTTAGTGGAGTAACACTGATGTTATTCAGGTAACACTGGTGACTGCATCAGTGATTCTTGTGTTTGTGGCTAGAACACTACAGTACAGTTTTCTTTCTTCACTTTTTTTTGTTTAAATCAGAGGAAGGAGCAATCAGGTATCTGTATGATGGGGAGGGAGGATCTATTATCTTTTCTTCAAAGGCACCAAAGTCACTCTTTTTCTTTACAAATATGACCTAAACTAGCACACATCTATTTCTGAACACATCTGCAAATTTCTGATAGTGATTCTAATGCAATTGGAATTGCTGTGGAGTTCTCACTATAAGAAAACAGCTATCTTTGATCTAACCAACCTTGTGTCTACAGGTAACTCCTTGCATGGGAGGACTGGCACTGCTTCTCCTGATTCTGCTGGTCCCTCACAGGATCCAGAGAAAGACAGCAGCACACAGAGCACTGAGCATCTCTGGCATGGTAGGAAGAGCAGATGAGAAGCCAGATGTACACAGAACTACCAAGACTACTTGGTGTCAAGATGTGGGATCACTGGTCAAGAAGTAAGTGGTTTGAGCTACAAAGGCTCCCTCTGTTGAGGAGTCACCATTCCATTATAAGAAATATGTCCACTGAGTCCCACTTTGCTCCTTTGAGCCACATGTTGTATGTAAGAGGATGGAAACACCATTAGTAAAAATCTTTCTTCCACTTTTTTACAGGAATGCTGAAAAGAGATAAAAAATTTCTTTGCTTCTTCTATCCTCCCATTTTGAAAAGGGGGAAAGGGCTGAAGTTATGATGGCAGTTTGCTCCTATTGGAATCCAAAGCTCTACTTTATACTAAATTTTCCCTTCCCTACAGGAACTAGATTGGTAAAAGTGCAAATTTATGGTGTAAATTTATTTATAATTCTTAGCACCCGAGGAAGGTTGGATTAGCATGTCCCAGGCACTCTGTGGTATTTGTGAACCTGCTGTGCATGAGGTCAGAGTTTGTGGGACCCCAATATGCTTTATAAAGTAATTGTCCATGCGTTTTGATGGGCTGAGCTGTGGCTGGCAGATGACACCTTCCTTTTAACCACACAAAAATTAAAGATGCAGGGCGGAGTAAAACGCGGACCGGAGCAGGTTGCTCGCTCCTGTGCCCCCGCGGTGCCAGGCGGTGCCAGGCGGTGCCAGGCCGTGCCGGGCCGTGCCGGGGCAGGACGAGGCGCTGGAGCGGCTTTGGGAACAGCAGGTGCCGCTGTGCAGCTGCGCCAGGCAGCTCCGCCTGCCGCTGCCCGCAGGCTGCTTTCCAGCACCACGCTTTTCCTTTCAAGACTTGCTTTCCTGGGACACCGTTTGCCTTTGGAGTGTTCTTCCAGATGATCCAGCGTTTTCTCACTGCCCGCTAAATCTGCATCCTCTTCACATCCTGAGTAGCGGGTACATTAGAGATCGGTTTTGTAGGATCGCAATTTGTAGGCACGACATCCTGAAGTGAATTAAAAAAAAATAATTTCCTGAATCAAAAATGAACCTTTCTGACATTTCAACAACTAGACTATCTCCAAAGTTGCTTTCCTACAGAGATGTTTGAGTGTAAAAAAATAGATCTTTTTATTTTCTTTCCCTTTAGCAATTGATTCCCATTTTCTTTTCCTTGGACAATTGATTTCCAAAGCATAAGGACATACTGCAAAAAAACTATGTGGTTCCACTTTTAATCAAGTCCAAGAGCACATTATCTTTAGGAATTAGAGAATTATGTTCATTTCTTAACAAATCCTCTAGTTTGGTGGTCATTTGCAGCATACATCTCTATTGACCTCAAAGGGGATTTTCTTCTGAACTATTAATGACAAAGAGTCCGGCAAAAATTTAATTTTCTCCTAGGATAGGGCAGGAAGGAGACAAGGTTTGGACAGTTTTCAAAAACATTTCTTCTTTTGCCTGAAACTTGCTGTGGAGATTGAGTCTATTTTTACTCACTCAGGTAGGGTTAAGGAGTGCTCCAGCCCAGCTCAGACCCAGGCGTTGCTCTCATTTACACTGGTTACAGAAACAGCTTAAAACCTGAGGCATTTAGAGCTGAACAGAGAACCTTTTCCTTTAGGTACCAAGCCATTACATTCTTGCTCACTCTCTATTGTTATACTTCTGCTATCAAAAAATTCACAGCAATTGTTTTGGCAGAAGTTGGCATGAAATCTGCAAGAGACCAGGATTTAACATTAAATCAGCAGGTCATACCCTTTACTCTAATTAGTGCTTTATTGTTGAATTTCATAATGAAGCCTGATCAGAGTTCAGATATTCAAGGGAGTGGATTTCGATTACAAGATGTCTGAAAGTATTGTTTTGTTATTGCTTGAAATCCTGGGTGTTGCAGGTAGGTTTTCCCTTTTTCCTCACACCATTCTTTCTAATATCTCTCAGTTGTTCTTTTTTTTTTTTTTTTACTTTCAGCTGTAGTTTTGTCTGTTCCTCACTGGGTCTCACTGCCATGGCCTTTGTCACTGGAGCCCTGGGAATGTGGATGCCACTGTTTCTGTACAGAGCTCAGGTTGTGCAGGGCCTTGTCCCACCGTGCCTCCAAAGCTCGTGCAATTCATCGAACAGGTGAGCTGTGCCTCGGGGGCACACCTGGAAACGCCGCACGGTGCTGGGTCACAGCTCGTTTGCAGAGGGGAGGGAGGATGTCACCCAGCACTTCTCCTGAAGGCAGTGGGGTGTGAATGTTAAGTTGTCTCCAGGTATCTGAGACACTCCCCTTTGGTTGTTTGTTTATAATCACTCAGTTAACTGGAAAAATGCTGCCAGCTCTATTTAAGTAAAACAGGAAGAAGCAGTAATAGTAACAGTTGTGGGGGAAAAGGAGAAGCTTTAGCAAGGAGTTTTTAGTTGACAAATGACTGTGCACCCCAAGTTACTTAAATACCCATTTAAGTATATTTAAATCTTGTGTTGTAATGACTTGCCTATTATCTTCTTCTTATTCCATTTTTATGATCTGTGCCATGTTGGTGAGTTCACTGTGACTCCCAGCTTGAAGAAATCTTGCTGGTTTTGATGTAGTATCAGATCATCACACCAAACCAGGATCTTGTGAATAGCTGCCAGCAGAGCTCTGCTTAGAGCATGTCCAGACCAATGAAGATTCATGAATAGTATCAAATATTGTATAAGGGGAATTTACACTAGTAGAACACTTTGAAGTAGTCATAACACACCTTTTTATAGATCCCTTTCCCCACCAAGGAAGAGAAGTTTTTCTTCACAGTGTGTTGTCCAGAATACAAATATGTATTCAGTGTTCCTCTTGAGTCTTCACAGCTTCCCTCAGTAACAGTGAGCACTGGGACTGACTCCTGGCAGTGGTCTCCATACAAGTACCCCTTTCTCCAGGAGGTACCCCAAGTCTTGTTTCAGTCTCTGCTTTTGTAATGGATTTCAGAGAGCTAAGTGCTTACAGCATGGCCTTTCCAGGTAAAGACACTTAAAGGGAAAAGCAGTAATCACACCTTGAATGTATCCTCTGCTAATGGGATTTTTCTGTCTTTCTGAAATGGAATAACTGAGTTAACTCAGAAGTGATTTCTGAGTTGTAGCAAAACCAGATGGATTGAAGAGTCATCCCAAAATCCTTCAATGGGAAATGAATTGTCCTTCCAGGGATGCCACCAGTGGCACATTACTTATCAATTAACAGTACTGGGAAGAGAGGGAAACACAGGAGTCTGGCTCAGGGTAGGCAGATGAGGGAAGCTGAACAGTTTAAGATGTTTGGCTCTATCTGTTCACAGATGCACTTTAAGTACTTCTTTGTTAATTTGAAGGTGTTGGCCTCTAGTTTGTTTTCTAATCCACTTCTGAATTATTATTCCACAGTAGTGTTGTTAGAGCAGACATGGTCTTCAGGGAAGTGAAACAGAGCATTTGATAGTTTAACCTCATGTGCTGCTTCTTATAGGATGCTTTTAAATCTAATCTTGGCATAAGCTCATGCCAGAAGCAGCATAAGGCTGGTTTTGGACTGTTATTCCAAGGGGATGTAAAGAAACAGAATATAAACTACAATGTCAGACCTGATGGTGCTGGAGGAACTGAGCTGCACATTACCAGACCTGCCCAGGGATACTTTTAAAGATGTTTTTCCCTCTGGCTGTTCAGCAGTTTCAGACTTTGTTTAAGGATCAGGACTGTGTCCCTTAGACTCCTTACAAACATAGACTCAAATGGCACCACAACTGATTTAAGTCTCAATCCTTTCAATGTAGATAAATAGGCAGCGTGAAGTTTTTGTTCAGGTCTTTGTGCAAACACTTTCAAACAGATCAGAGAGATAAGTGAGCATTCTCAGACCCTAAAGGATCCCATAGGAGCCTTTCCCCAGAACTAGGCTTCTGTACTTTCCTACTCCTGTCAGCTGAACTGTGCTTGGATTTCGTTTTGGCCATTCTTTTTATTCCAGTTGCAGGTTTGTTTCAACTTCAGTTTACAATACATGAACATTCTAAACACAATTCCCTGAATGCTTCAATCAACTAATGTCACCTTGGAACTTGCCTCTCTTGAACAAATGTCTGAGATTATTCTGCCAAGTGACAATCTATAATGTCACTATCAAGCTATAGTCAGTGATGGATCAGAATCCTGAAGAACTTGCAGGGAGAGTACAAATTTTCTTAAAGTTTGTTATCTTGCATAGCAATACCTTTTTTTTTTTTCTTGTAGAATTATTGAGTTCTTCCTAATCAGCCAGAAAGAAATTAAGAAGTGGATGTTCTGTAGTTTAAAGGAACAAATCATGTCCCAGCTGGTTACTTTGCTTTGCAGTTAGAAAAAGTTCAGGAAAATGTACAGAACTTGCCATGTAGCACTCTAAAATATTCAGAAGCACTTGTGCTCAGAATACATTGATCCTGTCCCTGCTTGCCTTCAGAGAATCACAATGCAGTGGCACCACTGATCTTGGGCAGGAGACTTGCTTTGTCATTGGGGGGGGTCTCACTGGGACAGAGACAAAAGCACACATGCAAGTCCCTTTGGAAGCTGAATCTTCTAAACTATTCAGACATGTTCTTTTAAAACATGAACTTGTGGTTCCTGAAGAACACATTTGCATTTGCAGACACACAAAGCTGAATGGTATTGGAAACTCTGTGTTCAGAAAATGCTGGACCTGGCAGTAGTTACCTATTCAGTATTCTTTGAACTCTTCTGGGAAGTGGTAGGTGTTTCCCACAGTCAGAGAAGTGACTCATCTCAGCTGTGCTAACCAGAGGGTTATAATTTAGATGTGTATCATTCCACGTGCTAGGATCTCTTCCAAGGCAGCAGATTGTGATACAGGGTTACTCCATCTGTGTTTCAGGGATGACTGGGTAGATTGATTCACAGGGTAACCATGATGACTCTGTCTCCTCTAAATCACAGCATGTCCAAGCTAGATCATATTGAGCAGAGCCCTCCCTGAGCCTGGGTGCACAACACCTGCTCTGTAAATGGGAAAATATCATCTCCAGGGGATACAGCCACCATTGCAAAGCCATAGCTTCAGCTGGGGCTTGGGATTACCTCCATTTAGAAGGAGTGGGAGGGTCACATCAAGTGGAATAAAAGTCAACTTCCCTATTAAAGACTCCTCTGAAACCACAGGTACAAGCTAACACCATTTATTTTTCCACAGTACAGTTTTACTATGCTCAGCTGAATCCTTTGCTTTGTCACCAGCCTAATATTTGGAGGCATCACCATTGGGACAGGAATCTTGGGTATTATTGCTGGGGCAGAAGCTGCAAGACGTTTAAGGAAGATAAACAACAAAGCTGATCCTCTGATCTGTGCCACAAGCATGTTCATTTCTGCACTCTGCCTCTACATAGCTCTGATGGTGGCCCAGACAAACATCCTTTCCACTTTTGTAAGTGACAATTAGCAAAATGTCTTTTGGCATCCTAGGGAGAATGGGAGGCGGGGAGAGGCTTTTGCAGAACTCTCTGCAGTCTTCTGGAACATTAAGAGGTTTCAGTGACTTGTGGCAAGGTATCCAGGTAAGCTGTGGGCTCTGATGCTCTCATAGCTGAGGTCTGTCCTGTGAGAGCCACCTGGGCAGTCCTTGGTACAGTATAAAGGGCAGGCAGGCACAAAAACTGGGCCTGAGGTCCTGCAGAGTGCCCACACTGAAGAAGAAAATAATAACTGTGCATTTAGCTGCGTTGAAACATGTCCCTTATGCAAAAATGTAGTTAAAGCAAGTCTCAATCTTATGTTAATTTTAATGCTTTGTGCCTAATTTAGTATTCTTATTTATTTTTGCTCTCTTAATACTTAAAGGTTGGTGTAGTTGGGACTGCACAATACACACTGTTCTAGCTAAGAATAATTTAGCCCTCACCTTCAAAGCCCCAGATCACTAGCTGATCTTCAAAGTCAAGCTTTTGGCAATACAAACTGAAGTATAAATCATTTAAATTCCATTCTCGGTAAAAGGGAAAACAGAAACTTACTAGGAATGACAAAAAATCCCTGTAAGAGGGAACTGAATGTAAACCCTATTTCAACTGTAATCTGGTAACAGCTGGGGAAAGACTCCTGTGCATTTTTTCTGTGACTCCACAGCCAAAATCACCATGATTAACATGTAAGTAAAGTAAATTACAGTAATCAACAGTTCTCTGCAAAAGGGCACTTTTGCATGTTTTTTGCTTCTAAGAATAATGCTTGTTCAAAGAGGTTTTCCTTCTGACTCCTCAGGAATGTGTATTCCTGTGGAAAAACACCTTTACACCAAGAAAAAACACAAGTGGATTGGCCTGTCTGAGTGTGTGTACACAAAGCAAAATGTGAAATGTGAAGATTATTCTGGGTCCAATAGTGGGAATCTGAGTGCCCAGGAGAATTACCCATTGTCTTTTTCTGCTTCTCAGACTCCCACAAGCTCTACTCATAGTGTGATCCTCAGGGGATTTTTTGTCATTAAAGGTAGAGAACAGCAGTTAAATTTTCCAGTCTGTGTTAGATGAATGAATCAATGTATTTGGTTGGACCTAAGAAAACATAGCTGTTATTAGAATCATAGATCACAGAATCATAGAATCAGGGTTTGGGGTTGGAAGGGACCTTAAAGCTCATCCAGTTCCACTCCCCTGCCATGGGCAGGGACACCTTCCACTAGACCAGGTCTCTCCAAGTCCTGTCCAACTTTGCCTTGAACACTTGCAGGGATGGGGCAGCCACAGCTTCTCTGAGCACCCTGTGCCAGGGCCTCACCACCCTCAGAGGGAAGAATTTCTTCCTTATATCTAATAATATATTAATTATAATATCTATATCTAAAGCATTGTGAAGGAAAAGATGTCTGGATAATGTTCTATACTAAGTATATCAGTGCTTCAAGGAACTTTTTTCCCCAAACTGGCTTGGAGAAGAAAACAAATGAACAGAACAGACAAAAGCCACAGGATGTATGGATATCCTAGGTCTATTATCTATATTTATTACCTACAGGATATCTATAGGTATCCTGGGTATTCTAGGTCTAGTTCTCCTTAGGGGAATGTAAGCTACCCCTCCAAAAACATCTGAGTTTGTCACTGTGCCTTCCCTAGGCTGTGTTTTCATCAACCAGGGACGACATCTTGACAAAGGCCTTACCAAACACAGTGCTGGCACCTGTTGTAACAATGTGCCATCAGTCTGATTAGTAGATAAGAATATTGTGCCAGGTACCATGAGACTTTGTGGCCTGTGTTTCTGAAGAGATTCTGCTTTCTAGCACTGCTCCACCTCAATGGTGTAACTTTAATCCTTTAATCCTTTTCTTCCTTTAAGTCTCGCTTAGTCTGGGCAGGCTGCTCCAGTCTGTGTCCAGGGCTGGCTGAAAGGGTTAATATTTTCTGAGGCCACAGCTAAAAGAGTTGTTCAGTGCCCTACCCCTTTTCCTCATGGCTGGGTCTCCATCTGTGATGGATTAGGGATTTCCCACAGGACAGCAAGGTTTTGAGACTGCCTGTTCCTTGGAGTCCATTCCGTTTTGGATGTTCTCTCTCTGAAGGAGCCCTTAAGAGTACTGGTACTGGCCCAGAGGTGTTCACTTGGCTTCATTTGCATCCCTGTGCACTTTGTAAACCTGTGCTGAATGTTTCTCTTCCATGGATCTTGCTTTTCTCTTTATGGGTTCAATAGTTCATAGCAGTTAATTTGGGAGGCTGGCATACGTTTCCTATTTTGGCTCTTCTGCTGAGGATTTGTGACCCAAACACCTTCTTTGATTCTTTTTCCCACCTTTAAGGTGAAGTTACTGTTTGTAAGCATAGATAGAGGTGTTTAATTTAGAAGTAATGGGTATGTAGGACAACTCTTACACAGATAAGCAACAGTCAGTGAGCCTGCCTCATCTTCACAATATAGAAGGGCAATGCAGAGTACAGCATAGCATAGCATGGCATAGCATAGTATAGTACAGTCACTGCTTTTTTTCTGTTTTGCAGATTTTTATTGCATTTGGAGAACTGTTTTTGTCTGTAAACTGGGCTGTTGTGACAGACATACTGCTGGTAAGTGCTCATGAAACTTTCCTTATTTCAAGGTTTTGACAATGTAATATTGTTCCTAAGCCTGCATCTTGGTGGCTTTCTGGGGACAGATGAACAAACTCCTACAGAGAATCCCCTTGTTGGTATCCTGCTTGGAATCACTGCCACAATGTACTGCTGGGCAAGGATGCCAGTGGCAATCAGGGTGTGGTGGTGCAGTAGATCAAGTTATTATAATCCCAGGAAGATGTCCTGATTTGGGTGGAACTCATGCACGTGGTACTCTCTAGTGCTGTCTATACCCGTAGTATTTTGGGCTTCTGTACAGCTCTGTGTTGTCAGATATCTGCTAGAAAATGGCCTGCTCCAGAAACAAGGTAATTTTGTGTCTATAATCAGGTTTTCTATTTATTTTCCAAATGTTTGAAAGGATGAGCCCAGTGAGGCAAAGTTGACAGTCCATGAACTGTTAGCAAGTTCCCTTAGTCCAGAACACAGTGCAGATGAATTCCAGCTCTTGCAAGTCCAACTCATAAGTGTTCTACACTGCCAGAGCATCAGGCCAGCAGTGATGCTTAAGGGGCTCTTGGGAATTCCAGGACTGACCTCACAAGCCAAGGAATAGCAGTGCATGATTTCATTTGGATTCTGTCATCTGCAATTTCATTAGAGTGATGTGAAAAGCACACATCTTGTAGCACAGTTTGTCTAGACTGTGATAAGCAGCTGCTTTTTATAATTTCAAAGGTTTACATAGTTAGTAATTTTACTTGAGTTTTTACTCAAAATAAAAATTTGGCAATCTTGCATTTAGGTTGTAGCTCCACAGTCACTAATAGATGTCTGTGTAAACCCTGGGGCAGATACTATGACTGCTGAACTACACAGATCATTATAGTCTTATCAAGTAGTTTATATGACTTTTTTTCTTAATAATCCATAATATGAACAAGTTGAATATGGTTTATCAGTGCAATAAGCAAAGAAATGCTCATATCTGATAGACTGCAGGAAGCTGATTTAAATACCAAAGTTATTTATATAATTGACAATTCTTTTCTTGCTACCTATGGGCATAAGAAAAAATATTTAAGTTTACACTACCCTTTTCTATGAGGAATAGATCACCCAAGGGACCCAAACTCTACTTTGGGATTCCTGTGCTGAGAAACTGTGGATGTGATGATAACCCTAATATTTCAAGCAGGAAGCTCCCTGTGAGACAGGGACTGTTCAGACAAGTGTGGTACAGGCACAATGCTGCTGCAGGTGGCACTGAAAGTGGGGGAATTGTAAAGCCATCAGGACAAGTGAGAGAAGGCACAAAGTTAAGGGACAGCAGAACAGAGATCTTTGACTGTTTCTTCCCAAGGAAAAGACATGTGAGTGTTTCCCATTTCATGTAATAGTGTTGCATTCTAAGGGAGATGAAATCTATTTGCAGATTGCTGCTGCAAACTTCATGGTCATTATAAATCTTTCATTTGAGAACCACAGTGAGTGCATTCATGTGTAGCACAACATGCAGTGATGCACAACAGCTGTTCACAAGAAGGACAGGAAAAATACCTTGCAGCCTGTGGCTCCAGTGGAGCACAGGTCACTGGCCCTTGCTATCACAGAACTGGCAGTTTACCCCTGAGGTCACTGCACTGTGGTCTGAGTTGCTCAGATATACAAATTGCTTGGTATCTCTACTGGTTAACTGAACCCAAGTAGTGGACAAGCTGAGCAGAGATGAAAGTATTCCTATTACAGTGTAAAAACGATGAAAAAGTATATTGCCAAATGCTGAGCACTCTCTAGTGACCAAAGGAACCAGCTGTGAAGCACTGCAGAACTCTCCTTCCACTGCCTGACCTTGCCTTGATGTGAGTCTGTTTATCTTTTATTTCATAGCTGGAGAGCCTCTCTTTACATTCTGATTGAGATGAAGGAATGGAACTAACATTTCATGGGTCTTCAGCAGAGTCCTGCTGACACTGACTGTGCATTATGTTCTCTTTCATGGTGCTGCTCTCTACATGTCAGTTTTCTGCATCTGGAATTTTAATAAAATAGTAAATAATGCAGTCAGCATTAGTCAGTTGGCTGCTTGCTTAAAATTTCAGCCAGCAGCCAGGAGGGTTTTGATTCTTATTTGACTCTCTCAGAATGGTCAGAAACAATTATCCTATGAGAAAAGAGCTGAAGCCTTGCAGCAGTGAACTGGTCCAGACTGACAGTTTTACTTATGTTCTATTTCAGTTTATTTTTAAATAATTGGGCTTTTTTTTGCACCAGAAGCAAATATAAATACCATTGCCGTTCTTTTTACATGAGTTGAGGCACCAACTTTTTAAAGTTTCTCAATTTACTTTTCTTTGGACTCCTATATCTGCATTTTAATTCTGTCCTTTGTCACTGTTAAAGAGGAAGGTGACATCACTGAGTTAGATAATGGTGATACATGGTGAGGAGAGTGAGGCAGATGGTTGCTGTCAGCTCTTTCTTTCAATTCCTTCCTGAATCCAAACAGAACTTTTGTTCAGTTCTGTCACTCCAGTCTCAGCTTTATGAGGGAATGCTGCATCACATTGCATCCTGCAGGAGATCTGTGGGGAGCACCATTGTCATATCCTGGATCCATGTAGATCTAGAAGAGGAGGAAGTTCTTGTCTCCCAGCAGACCAACATCCCTGACTTCCATTTCTTTTAGAATATTGTGGGATTAATTAGCAGCAATATTGTATCAACTGGGAACAACTGGGGAGGTGAAAAGTTTGGTACAGCAGAGCTCTGTGGTGCTGTGTTCTCTGGGAGCAGACATCAAGTTTATTACCACAAGTGTGCTTTGGGTTGGATCTCTTGAAATCTAAATGCTACTAATTGTTTTATCCGAAAAGGATGGAATTGAGCTGAATTTGTAGATGTCTCTCATTCAGTGACAATCTTACTTGGGACTTGTGTTTCATCCTGTTGAAACCCCATGAGTACCCCATGAGTTCAGTCTATTACTGCTCTTATACTGACTGAAGGGTGCCACAGATAACAGAAGTAATTTCTCTTTCTGCCTTGTTTCCTATATGAACTGGTAGGATTTCTGGTAATGTAGCTGGATTTGCTAATGCATGTTCTTACTTTGCCATGAAAATTACTTTTCTTTCTTCCCACATGGCACTGCTAGCCAGACAATGTAGCTAGGAATTCATTTCTCCTGCGACCTGTGGAGCTGAAGATGCTGACAAAAAAGATGCTGACTGAATGATAAGGACTTCCTCCCTTTGTGGCTGGTGCATCAAGAGGCATTGCATGTAGCCACCTTTGTGCCTCCTATTCAGTGTAAACACAAAGGTATCTGCTGAACCACTACAGTCCTAATGTGCAAGTGGAGAAGTGCTGTGGCTGCCCTGCTGGTTTACTGGGAGGCTCTTCTTGGAATGCTCCTTATGAAACATGTTTGCCACCTGTGAGGTTATGGAACTCTGTCTTTTAGGTTTTTGGCAGCTAATAGTGTAGGAGATGCTGGAACTGGAGGGGTTTGGGAAGGCTACCAAGATGTCCCTGTCTTTGGAAGTGCCCTGGGATGTACAGAAGTGTTCACCAGCCTGTGTGTTCCATCTGCTTTTTTAGCTGACAGCTCTGTGGCAGAAGGGTCTCTGAAACCTCCAGAGGCAGCACGAGGGATCTGCAAACTGTACCTGTTTGGGGCACCTGCTTCTGTCCAGACACCTGGGCTGGATCTTTGAGGAGTGTGCAGGATGTCACCCCACTCCTGCCAAGGTGTGGGGTCCTGGGCAGTCACTGTGGCCAGGCAGGACCCCTTGGCTTCTTCAGAGTCCCTGTGGGAAGGTGTCTTTTGTTTCTTCTTTTCCTAGTGAATCCCACAGTGCCTTGAGCTCTTGAGTATAGTTTCTCTTCTGCAGAAGAACCTGAACAATAGCACAGGCAGAGTTTGTATGAGCCCTGAAACTACAGAAAACACCCCATCCCTCTCTCAGTTTTGTTCCATCTCTTGTAGTTGCAGATATGGGATATTAAATAAAGGTATAGTGCAAGGCACTGGGAGAGCCAAAGTACATTTAGCTTTTCTCATGCTTTCAATGCCCATGATATATTAAGTGCATAAGAATATTTGATTTGCATTTCTCAAACGCAGTCTGTCATGATCCATAAAAGAAATTTGAGTTCTAGGGCAGATGACATGAAAACCTCAGAGAGCCATGGGCTGACAGTCTCCAATCTAGTACAGTCTGTCATTGCCAGGTCTGCTTCCCAAGCTCAGAGTTTCCTATTGTGGTTTTTTGTGTCTGTACAAGTGAGCCTCTTCACAAAGTGTGCATGCTCATCATCCAGGTAGGTTCTGAGAGAAAAAAAGTGGGTAGACTGCACACCCTCAGTCTAGGCCATAGTGTGCTTTGGCCTCAGTGGGAAGGAGCTGTTGGATTGTTCCTTCATCCCATGGGCGACAAGGATTTCAGAACAACCAATCTCACATAACTCTGCTCCTACATTGCCTGGGGACTGGATGCAGTGTTGTGGCAACATGACATCACACTGGTTTTCTGTAACTCTGGAGAGACCTCCAAAGCACCCCTGGTTTAATATTTACTATCATTGAAGCACTCTACCTAAATATTCCTAATGAAAGAGAAATGTTCTATCCATGCTTAGAAATACCTGCTTTGGAGGGACTGGGAATGGAGTGGGTTATGCATTAGCTGCACATGTGCAAAGGAAGGAAGGAGGTTGTCTGTTCTAATCCAGCTGCTCAGAGCTCTCTTGCTGGGTGCAGAAATGCTGGTTTAAGAGTGATTTGTGTATCCAAGGTGGAGTCCCAGTGCCTAAGAGGGGCACTGCCAGTGTTCTCTGGTTCTTTACTGAAACTGTATGTGGTAAGCAGGACCAAAACTCTAAATTAAAAGTGACAGCAGGGTCTTTTTTAGTTTTAAACCCAGCTTAACATGTATATTAATGTTTTCTTGAAGGCAGTGATAGAGTCACAGTATAGATCATACACCTTGAGTCTGTCCCTTGGTAAAACACCAATCATTCTATTAATTAGTGTGTGAGACATACTTAATGACACTTAGGTGAGTTTCAAGAAAACCCCCCCAAACTGTGGAATAGAGGACTGAGAAAATATTAAGCATTTTTTTTCTGATATGAGCAAATGGTTGGAAAACAGATAAGAAGGTTTGAAATTGCTTCTGTAGCATTCTGACTGTGAATGCTTTTTGCATAAATGTACTATTAAAAGGCTTCTTCAGGCAGAGCTGATCCTCAGTAGCACAGGCATAGAGCTCTTATTACCCCCAAATGACTATATTTTATTTGACAAAATAGTTCTAATCTACATGATGCTTTGCCATGTTCTGGATGTGCACAACATCATCTTCTCCAAGTCCTTATTTAAACTGTGTGCACTGAAAAACAAAATCAGTGTGAGGTGTTACTGCAGTACCTTGTGTCTCAGGTGCTTCTACTGACAGGCAATACCATCAAAACATCACCAGCCACTTTCTGGTTGGGCAGGTTGGGTCCTCACCTTCAGTCTTCAAGGGTCTGCAAGGGCTCAGCTAACATGTTTTACAGCTCCTCGGTACCCCACTTTCCCTCAGCAGCCTAGACCAGGCCTGCTGACACAGGTCATAAGATATTTTTCTGAGAGACTGTCAGTGCTCAATCCGTATTAGCAAATCATTGTGACTGCAAGGGATACTGCCAGGAGGCTTCTATTGGTTGTATGACCAAATGGATCTGTACAAGCTGCTTTGAGCTGTGTATGGACACGTGAGTCACAGTTTAGCTAATCTATTGTTATTTTCTCCTGTATATTCCTTTCTTGAGTGTTTTTTTCCTCAGCAAAACATGCAGTGTACCCTTTTGCTCAGAATAACTTTTCTGTCTCCAAAGTTCTAAACAGTGTTTGAATATGAAATTTGTCTTACAAAGTTGTAAACAGTGTTTGAATATGAAATACATCAAAGTTGCTCTGTCGGTGTCTCTGGGATATTGTGGGAGCAGCTGGGCACTCCTGAAGTTCTCGGGGTTGATGTTCCCCTCCTGTGGCTGTGCTCTGTTTCAGTACGTGGTGACGCCGCGGCGACAGTCCACAGCCATCGCCCTGCAGATCTTGGTGAGCCATTTGCTGGGAGATGCAGGCAGCCCGTACCTCATCGGGGCTGTAAGTGAATTCTCTCCTTACTCAATTTTCCTTGGGGTAAAACTTCTAGGAACTGATAACACTCACAGAATCTTAGGCACTACTTGGTCCAAAACCAGAAATTACTCAAATTGCTGGCCCTGTGTCTAGGTCACAGAGATATTTTTCTAAATGTTTTTACCTGCATGCAGCACTTGGTCCTGTGACACTGCTTGTAGGTGTCAGTAGTTCTGTGCAGTGTGTAGAAATTTACAGAGGCATACATTTTTGCAGAGACAGTGTCATAGGATGAAAGCACTTTCTGCTAAGTTTGTGAGTTTCGTGGAAATTACTTCAATGTGTTAAAACCCAAGACTTAGTTCAAATCTTGAAGTTTGAAATCTTGAAATTAGTCAATGGTGTCTTGAAAATTCAGAACAAAAGTGGAGCAATGGTTCTCTTTAGATATTACTTGACCTTTAAAGCTCTGGTCTCAAATCACCTCAACCCTGAATTCCCACATCTCTAGACCTGCTTTCCCTGCCCTTCCTACATGTACTTGATCTTAGGTGCTTCTGTGCAAATCAGCCTCACACTGCTTTCTGCATGCAATTCATTAATTTTAGTTCCAGTGTAGTTCCGTCAGTCTCATTTCCTTCCTCCATTTATTTTAAGACACAGTAGGTAACAAAGCACCCATTTTGAGTTTTCTGCTTTACTTGACATGGGAGATTGAGTCTTTGTTGTTGATTTAAAGTTTAGTTTTTATGAAAGTTTATTTAAAGAAGTTCACCCCCTGTTTACAGTGTCAGGATTAGACAATGGCCAAGTGAGCTGTGCCTGCAGAGCTGCTGCTGGCCCAGCCACACAGGAGGTTCCCCTTGGCCTCAGCTGGGTGAAACCCAGAGTCTCAACTGTACAATCTGTCTGGCAGAGAAGAGAGTCTCTCTCCCTGAGGGATTACCCTCTCCCTGGGTACTGGGTTTGCAAACTTTGGGAGCAGACTCTTACCCCTGTCTGCCTCTTTTATGGAGTCTCAACTGTACAATCTGTCTGGCAAAGAAGAGGGATTACCCTCTCCCTGAGGGATTACCCTCTCCCTGGGTACTGGGTTTGCAAACTTTGGGAGCAGACTCTTACCCCTGTCTGCCTCTTTTATTCTTTTCAAGGCCCACACTGTAAAGAGTCTGTTTAAAGCAGGAGGGATGGAGGTGTTGTTCCAGGTTAATGCCAGCCTTGTTCCCTCCCCAGATCTCCAATGCTATCCAGGCCAGGAACACCCCCTCGCTGCAGTGGAGTTTCCGGAGCATGCAGTACAGCTTTGTCACCTGTGCCTTTGTTGGGGTCTTTGGAGGAGGATTTTTCCTCCTGACATCTTTCTACGTCGAGGAAGATCGGAGAGAAGCACAGAGGCTCTGAGGTGTCTGTGTTGATAACTTTGAACCCTGGATGTGGTGGCCTGTTTGACAGCAGCCACGGGATTGTCTCTGTAACATTAATAAACCATGTTAATTAATGTCTGCCTTATGGTAATGCCACGTCAGTCTCTATAAAAGAGATAAGGACAAAATCCCAGTGAAGTCCCAGATTAAACAAACCTTCCACATTGAGCAAAACAGTCCACAGAGCTCACAAGCAAAATGCTGTTAGTACAAAATGCTGCAGTATGTGGAAATAACATCCCTTACTGTAGTGCACCCCTGCAGGCTTCATGGAGCACGAGGTTCCTTTTCTGTAGCCCTTTAGAACCAGTCCTGTCTCTCTGTAGCACTTCTCCCTCTTCCCTGAAATAAATCATGTTCAAAGTATAAAATATTTAGAAAAAGCCTTTTGAATTGGACAAAGCCCTGTCCTCAAGCACCTGGCTTCTTACAGCCCCCTTCTGCTCAGACTTGGTGTTCCAGGTACCAGCAATGAACTGTCCCTCAAAGGAAGATGAACTCCAGGGAGAAATTTGCACAGAAGAAAAGAACGTCTCCCCTTTTTCCTTTCCTTTTTGCTTAATGAGATACAGCTGGGGAAAAGGCCAAATCACAATTCCTCCATATGGCACAAAATCCTGCATACTGAATTTTTGGATGCTTTTGACTACGAGTCAAAAATTGCTCATGCATTGGCATATGGCAACTCTCCTCCCCCATCCATAACCAGGCCCTTGTCCTCTGTGGGCTGGGGAGCTCCAGAGGGTGTTTTACAGAGCTGTCACCAGCATGACTGCTGACCTCAACAAGGCAGAGCTTTTGAGGCACAACATCTCCTGGAGATTAGGGAGGCCTGTGAGTTCTCAGCAGGATGAGATTTGCCTGTAGAATTCAGAAAATGTAAGTAGTAAAAAGAGTGTTTTAAGTTGTCTAAAATGACCAAGAGAAACAAAACTATCAAAGTCATGTCAGATTCAAGATTGGAGGGTTGTGATTATTTTATATGTAACATCTTAATGGTATGCCTCTCCTAATACTTGGAGGCTCCTCACTGTACCCTCAGGCCTTGGGTAGGCATCTCCTGTCATGAGTGAGCAGTAGCACCTGTAAAACCACTTAACTATAACTGTCCACTTGAACTCTTATCTCCAAAGAGAAGAGGATTTTGGATGTGCTATCTGTTGTCACAATATCCTGCCAGGTACCAAACAGGACATGACCAGTGTGGCCAACTTCCATTGTTTGTCCTGGCTTAGCTCCCAGTAGCACCTTAAGGCCTAAGCAAGATATTGGCAAGTGAATTGTAAAGAGTTGCAAATGTTGATGATTCTCCCAGTAAATCATAAGCAATATTCCTTTGTACTTCACAGTAAGGACTGTGAATGTCTAATGTCACTGTAAATACCATAATTCAGCTACTGCAGGTTTTTGTTCTTCCCTCTGTCTACCTAATATTCAAAAGATCTGTTCTGAAATCTGACTTAAACCTAGGTAGTGAAATGTGACCATTGTGGGAAATAACAGAGAAACCTTGTAATACTCAGTGAGAGTGTAATAATTGTCTTTAAAATAAAAGTTTGTATTCTGAAAGATTGAGCAACTTTTTCTGGTTGTAAAAACTAGCCATGGCCATTATACCACTGACCTTTTGGAAACCCCTGTGCTCCCAGAAAGCCCACATCCAAGAAGGGAATTTTGCTATTGGATATGAATGCTTGCAAAGGTCCTCAGTGCTTCAGCCATGGCAGGATTTCAGCAGCTCCATGTGCTTCTCCATCGGTACATTCAGGATTTGCCCTGCAAACAGTTGAGCAATTTATCACTTTTGTTATGTCAGCATTAAATTCCTCTTTAAAAAATTCATCAGGAGCTGCATCTGGCACGCTGTGCAGGCACGTATTTGACATATGAGCAAGAGATGCCAAATGCTGTTCTGTAAATGGTACAAGCAGTCCATGGCAAACTCCTCCCTCCTCCTACTCCAGTCTCCTCTGTGAAAGTCAGTGCCTAGAAATGAGCAGGATCACACTGACTAATCATCCCATCTTTTTGAATGCCTCTCTCTTTTCATTTCAATTTATGGGCAAAGGATGTGTATTTTTGATTTTTTTTTTCTGCATTTAGCAGGACTAACAACTGGATAATCTGAGCTGTGCCTGGGCCTCCCTGGAGCTGCCCTGTCCTGTCTCACTCAGAGCTGCTGGAGAGGCCATGGAGAGATGCAGCCCCTGCATGGAACAGCCCAGGGAGCCTCTGCCTCCATGGCAGGGAAGCTGTTTCCATCAGCTGCTTGGTTCTGTCTCTTAAAGATGGAACTTCCTCACTGGCATTTGTGTGAGGGGTAGAATTTCTTAACATTTTCTGCATATCTTGATTTTGCTTCTTAGTGGATGTCACCAAATTCTGCGTGGAGGGGTTCCCTTAGTGCTGGAGGGGGCTGTGCTGCACTGGGGCTGTTTCAGACATTTACAGTCTTTTCATGCCACCAACAACCTGTGTCAGGGAAAGTCACAGAGTTCTGGCACATGGCCAGTGCAGGACCTGAGATTTTCAGGTCTCAACTGAAGTATCAGTTGATTTTTATGGTTCTAATTAGGTACAAGTAAGAGAAAAATGGAGGGCTTTAAATAAAGTTACTAAATCAGCTGCTCTGTCTACATTGGAAACAGCTGCTGGTGGTTATTGAGATTGTTTTGCAGCATTCCTGCTGCAGGGAATCTGTCTCTTGCAGCAACTGAATGATAATCAGACAAGTTGTCAAAATGTATATTTTCTGTAATTGTTTGTATATTCTCCTCCTACCTTTAATATTTGTTCTTTGCTCTTTCCAGTCAAGATAGAGAGTAAGAGGCACTTTGGAACAGCTCCAAAAGGGGGGATTTTATAAGTCCATTCAGGTAATCCTTGTGATCTTTTCCTCCCCTTCCCTCATTCCCAAAGCAGGGGCAGGTGACCTTTATTGCTGTTTGTGTGGGTATTTTTAAACACATTTTAGAGCTCTGCTTTGCATAAAAATTGCCTTCAGAGCTGTGATTGTTTCTAGGTGTAAAGGTGTCCAGTGGACAGGACATGTCTCAGTCACACTACCAGGTTGTGAAACCACTTCTGCAGAGGGTTCACTTCCTCCACTAGTGATGTGGTGTGGCATTGCTGGCAGCAGAATTTAATTGCCAAAGATGTTTCATGTAACTTTTTCTCTCCTTCCCAAAAATTCAGCACCTGCCCAGGTGCCCTGGGTCTATATGCCAGCAATGAAAATTAGTGTTTCCCTCCATACTCTATTTCAGAATAGATGTTTGAATTCTGTCTTGTCTCCCCTTGCAACCCTGCACTGCCCAGTGACTGGAGCTCCCCTGGTGCCTTTACCATTGGGTACACGTGTCCTCTTGGCTTAGAATCTAGAATTTCTGTATGGAAAGTAAGCTAAAGGAGATGGACACTCTCCACATGAGAATAACATCACAGGAGTGAAGAAAGGCCCACTCAGCCATATTTATGCTGTAGCTGATTTTAGTTTTTCTTAGCAGTAGATCTGTCTCCTCTGCTTTTCTTTCCCTTCCCCACAATACAATGCATGTGCAGTGTCTGTTGAAATAAATTCTGAAATAACTAAGAAAGCTAAAAGTCCTCCATTATCCTCAAACTTTCATGGAAAATGTTTTCTTGAGAGATCCTTCTGCTGGTTTGCAAACACTGTTCATTCTTCAGGCCTCCTTTGAGCACTGGGTTCTCCCATTCTGCCTGTGAGGGTACCTGGGGAGCAGTCACCTCATCCCTTGGAACAGACAAAATACCCATGAAAGAACAGTGTCTGTGGGGCCTTGCCAAGTCAGGCTGGCTTTCAAGCAGCTGGAACTGGCTGTATTCCATCACAAGAGAGCACTGGATTCATCTCAGTGCTATAATTACTCATTGTAATCCAATAAAGCCTTGGAAAGGTTCTTAGAAAGCTTTTGGCTGATAAGGGAAACAAAGGTTAATGTGAGGAGGCTCTTGATCCTGATGCTGTGTAGCTGATCAAAATTGTGTGGGTCTCACTTTGTGGCATTTTGTGTTTCCTAAGTTTTGTTATTAGTATGGAATTGCCTGCACACCCTGCAAGAGTCAGATGGCTGTAATTGGAGTTGAATGTACATGCTGTCAAATCCCATTGCAGGAAGGTGCTCTGTAAGTGCCCTGTTGGAAGTGCCCAGGTTTGGAATGTGTCTGTATCCCAGCAGGCCTGACCCTGCCAAGGGACCTGGAACAGGCTTGGAAACAAACCCAGTCTCCCTAAAACCAGGAGTCTGTGCAATGAACAAACCCAGCCTGCCCAGGGCTCAGCTCACACTGGCACCAAGGTCTGACTTTGTCTGCTCATACACTCTGGTGGGTCTTTTCCTACAGCTAATATTGCTCTATATTATTGTGAAAAATTCTTTTAAATTTAATTCAGAGGTAAATTTATGCATTCATCTATGCAGGTATAATTTGCTTTTCAGTATCAAATGTGTTGGGCAGTGGGCTTGAAACTGATGTAAAAGGATGGAGGAAATAATTTTTGAAAGTGCTGACTTCAAGCTACCTGTTTAATTCTACTAGCATATGCCCTAGGAAGGGGCCTGACATTTTTCTTTTCTCATTCCTGTTTTCTAAGAGCCTTGCATCCCTTAGTTCCTAACAAAGGTGGGTTAAGTCACTGTGTGATCAGCACTGCAGAAGATCAGGCCATTTGCTTAAAGATTTAATTATTGGTTTAGGAGTCTAATCTTAGTCACATGTATTTGAAGTCTTGGTTGTAGGCATTTTCTTTAGGAGAAGAAAGGAAAATACCCTGCTTGTGTTGCAACAGGAAAATACCTGATGCTTCTTGAAGCAAACCTGCCTTAAACCCAAGGTGAGCTTCCTAGTCCTTTCCCCATTTTATTTATTGATGTGACAAACATCTGCCCTCCAGTGATGCTGAGCAGGTGCAAAAAAAAATCCAAATGCATCCTCCTGCTCCTCCTCCTCCTCCTCCTTTCCTCTGGACTTTATTTCTAATGGCCCTGGAAGGCCAGTGTTAAAACTCACTTGTTGAGAGGGGCTGTGGCACCTGAGCTGCAGCAAGGAGCTGTGCA